ACACACACACACACACATACACATCCATATATACGAATTTTAAAGAAAAAATTTTAGTTTATGAAAATTTCGCAAGATTTTCAAAAGAAATGAAAAATGTGATTTTTGAGAATTTTTTGGAGGAAAAAAAAAAGATAAGAATTGTGAACCAAATAATTCATCACAAATGTTTTACCAGCCAACAGCATGCGCATACACATTGATAATTAATTATTGAAACACACTGTTCCCATCTTTCCCGATAAATTCATCCTCTATCTATTGAATTTAGACAAAAAAATTTGAGGGGAAACATCAAAGATGTAATGAATGAAAAATTTTAATACAATTTATCGGATGAAAATTAATGTCAATCAAGAATTCTCTATTAGCTAAAAATTGATCCGTCAAAGATTTACCAACTGAAAATTAATCCTTCATTTAAAGAAAAATTTAAAAATGCTAAAAATAAAAAACAGAAAATTACTCAAATGCCAGTTGATTCGTTATATAACAATAACAATTGTTAATAATGCAATGAAAATATTAAATGAATTTAGATTAACAAAGAAATAATTTGTAGGTTGTTTCATTTTAATTTACAGCTCGAATTATAATAAAACTTCAAATTAACTTTGATAATATTATGAAAATATTTGAAAACAAAAAAAAAAATAATGGAACATAATATGATTTTTCCATTATTTAAATTTTTGAGAAAATTTATTAGAAAAAGCTTCAACGAGGTGTTTGATCAGTTAATAACTTATCCCAATTAGATAATTAAGTATCAATCACTATTTGATACCATAAACAAATATGATTCAAAGTTTCACATCGCCAAAAATACCAAAATAGAACAATAAAAAAATTGAAAACATTTTAAATATTTTGTGTTTTTTAAATCTAGCTCGATTTTATTTTAAGTAGATTTTATTTGTGATTTAATTAAAATTGACTATAAACAAAATTGAGATAATAAATATTAGTTCAATCATTTCGTATCTTCATTAAAGAAATTTGTAAAATAAAGAGGGAAAAAGAAAACTAAAATTACCTCAAAACATTTTAGCACAACCATTGGAAAGAAATACTGAAAATTAAATTCCACCGAAGGAAAGGCATTTTTAAAATTTTCAACGAGTGTTTCATCATTTGAAATATTTCTGTGAACCAAAACTTCAATATTCTGGCTGAAAATATATTCCCATATTTTTTTTATATTTTTTTATTTTTATATTTGCAAGCCTTTTATTTAAAATTTTTACAAAATTTAAAGTAACTATTAACTAAACAAATGACAATATTATTAGAAAGATGAGGTAAGAAAATTAGCATGCAGTGGAATGGAACAAATTAATTAATTGACAAAATAATTAACC